ACCGAAGGCGCGGCGAAAAAAAATCCCATTTTGGGTGAATTTTGATATCTTTCAAAGAATTGCGTGTAACTCTCTGAGTTCTGAACTGATTGACCTAAAGGTAGAATAGAATGAACGGGGTAATTCGTGCGCAATTAGTGATAGACGCAGAATATTTAAAATATCACATATTACGGTCCCCTAAGAAAATGTGACTTCTGGCCGATAATCTACCCTAGCATGCCCAAAACAGGTCCAAACGAGCTCAGATTTTGGGAGGGAGTGTTTGTGAGTACTCCCGTCAATTTCATAGAGCCAGGATTTGGTATAAAGAATTTCCTCACGCTTGTAGCCCTCTGGTTTCATTTTCAGTTCAAACAGACCAAAATGCTGCTAGCGGCTCCAGTCCGTGGCTAGACAAGCTGAAAAAAATGCTGAGGACATCACAATAAGTGTAGTATTGTTGCCGAGCTCTTCTGCGGCCCAAAAGCGGGTGTTCCCGTAAAACCTCCCTGAAATAAGCCTGGCCCAAAGCCTAAAGCCAAGGTGCCAAGGTGATCTCCGACGCCGATGCAAGCGAGGAGGAGGAGACACCGAAGCCTGCGAAAAATATGAGGCCAGGACGCAAAGCAAATGCGAAGCCCCCGCCGAAGAAAGGGGCCAAAGGTGCGCATAGTTCTGCATTGACACTCTTCCGAATTTGAGGCTGAACCAAAATGGTTGATCCAGTCGCAAAGAAGGCCGAAATCTCTGATTCGGATGAGGTTGAAGTTACGGAGAAGGGCAAGGCCAATGCGGGCCCGATAGGTATGTTTTATTCTCCTCATCACAATCAGTATCCAAACCTCACCAGATATTGTTTCATGATGGTGACACAAGATTAGACGCGATGCGCTCTAATTATGCTTTGGATACCCGCTTTTGGGCCGCAGAAGAGGTGGGTAACAAATTCTACGCTTAGTGCGATGTCTTCAGTATTTTTTTTCAGCTCGTTTGGCCACGGACTGGGGCCGCTAGCAGCACCTTAACTGAAAATGATGCTAGAGGGCTATAAGCCTGAAGAATTTTTTTATACCAAATTCTGGCTCCATGACATTAACAGGAGTACTCACAAACACTCCCTCCAAAATCCCAGCTCGTTTGGACCTGTTTTGGGCATGCTAAATAAGAATTTCACTCGGGAGTCCCATTTTCTTAGGGGACCGTAATATGTGATATTTTAAATATTCTGCGTCTATCACTAATTGCGCACGAATTACCCCGTTCATTCTATTCTACCTTTAGGTCAATCAGTTCAGAACTCAGAGAGTTACACGCAATTCTTTGAAAGATATCAAAATTCACCCAAAATGGGATTTTTTTTCGCCGCGCCTTCGGTACTGACATTAGCTGTAAGTGAGGAATTTTGAGTGACCATGGGAGAGTTGACAAGCCACACTTGTTGAGTATTCCATTGTTTTCAGTGAAAAAGTTTCATCATTTTTCACTGGTTGTATCTGAACAATTTGTAAAATTTTCAGTACTTTTGTGATTTTACTGAAAAAGTTTTAAAAAATTCACACAAGGACTGGAAAAGTTATAAAATTTTCAGCTACATTTTCAGTGAAAAATGAAGGAAGTTTTTCACCAAAGACCTCCACTAGAAAATTTGGAATGCTCAACCATAATTTCTCAGACTTCCGTGAGAAAAACCTTATATCTACACTAATACCGGTGCAGTTATTTTAGGTGAAAGGTGAAAACTGAAGGAAGCTTTTCACTGGTCCCAAAACCAATACACAATAACACTGAAGTCTGCACTGAATTCACCTATAAAAGTACCCCAAAATCCTGGGAAGAAATATTGGTACTACAAATTATATCCGGGAGATTTTTTGAAAAACAAGGTATTGTACAAGAATGAATCCTGAGCTGAGAAAGAATAACAGACAGATGTTCAACAGCAGCCTAAATGAATCATGATGGAGTGTGAAGGAACCAGGATCACCACTCTAGATTCCCAGGTGGATAAACGGTACCCATCGTTCATGCGGCACCCCGGCATCCCGCATCTTTCGAACAGCAAGCTGCAGTGCTTTTGCAGCCTCAGATGCTCGAGGCCTTTGACCACTGCCCAATAAATGGCTGTAAACAGTTTCCGCAACAACTGGCCCATCTTCATCCATCATGGACCACATAGTGGCAATGGCTCCTTGAAATCCCGCAGCAATGAAACCACCACCCAAGTGGAAGGACTCATTCACCAGTGCAGCATCTCCTTTTGCTGTCTGGCATGCAGCAAGAAATACAAATTCGGCTTTTGGAAGAGACATCTGGAGAATGGTCTCCAGTTCCAAAGTTCCACCATAGAGCTGGAGGCAGCTTTTTGGAGGCTCTATGATATTCTGCTCTCCATGACAAGCTAGGTGGATCCAAGCACAATCATTCAGTGTGTGCTTGACTGAATCTACTGTGGCACTTTCCCCAATGAGACTTTGAACCTGGTATTGGCCCCCAGAAATGGAGCTAATCTTAGTGATTTCTTCTTGAACTCCAGGGAGTTCTTGGTCTCCTCGGGGACCAGTGTGGGTCACCCCAACCAGGCCAATGCTTGGTGGATCAGTTGAATGTGTCTTGGAGTTTGCTTCCAGGAGAGCCCCCAATGTAGGTGTATAAGACTGTATGAATTGATCTGCAGAATCTGCGGCATGCAAAGGCAAGCCAGTGAAATCTCCGGTGGGACACCACCACAATCTGCCAGAAGTGATACCATTCTGGAAAAATGTGAATAATGCATTTGACAAGATGAGCAGAACTTACAGTGTTTAGGGCAATATAGATTGGCTACACAATACAAGTCCAGACCCAGCTCAAGAAGCCATCCAGGCCCACTTCTATCCCTTCTTGGTATCCATAAAGACGGGCCTGTGGTTGTTCCCTGGATCTCACATTACGCCCCCTGATCAGATCTCTGAGAAGACTTTTTTGGATTTTTAAGCGGTCAACAGAGACTGATGGCAGTGCAACATGAAGTAGGTCTGCGGTCGGATTGAGGAGGATAATTGAGTCACAGTGATCATGATGGGAATTGAGAATAACAAGAGGCCCATGTTGGGATACGTTACACAGATCTGTGTATGGTTTGGGGTGCAGAAAGTTCTCAAGGCCTGGGTGATTTCGGATCTCATTAATCAATGTATTTCTATCTGCTGCAACCCTCTGTGGATGCTCAGCAGTTCCACTATACAGGTCTACAGACAGGAGTTTCAACTTTTCTGCCTCCTTTTGGGGCAAAAGATCCAGGTTGGTTTTCAGTTGCAGCAGCTGTTGGAATGTGGTTCCCAACCCTTGTTCAAGGAGCTCTATTGCAAGTCGGAGATTTAAAGAGTCAATGCAGGCACTAATGGCATTGGAGGTTGCCTGGGAAACATTGATTCTCATGTTTACATCTTGACGGACTGATACAGCGCTTCCAATCCAGAGGATCTCAGGTAATAGATGGAAGGCAGCAGAGTAGGCCATTAAGACATCAGAGGGTCTGTGGACTTTTGCAAAGGAAGCCCAGTCAAGGGCTGAGTGCCATGAGGCTACAGGATCTGAGGTGTTGCTTTGAAAGGAGTTGCTATAATTGAATAGGACATCTTCAAGGTCCTTCACATCACCAGATATATTATATCGGGCTGTGAACGACACTGCCAGATGCTGGAGAAGGCTAGCCAGGTCTGGATGTCCCTCAGGTGTCTGCTCCACAGCAGCCTGATTATTTTGCAGTGCAGCCTCAAGATCCTTCACATCACCTGATCTTCGATATCGGTCTATGAATGACACTGCCAGATTCTGGAGATGCCTAGCCAGGTCTGGATGCCCCTCAGGTGTCTGCTCCACAGCAGCCTGATCATTTTTCAGTGCAGCCTCAAGATCCTTGACATCACCTGATCTTCGATATCGGTCTGTGAATGATGCTGCCAGATTCTGGAGACGGATAGCCAGGTCTGGATGCCCCTCAGGTGTCTGCTCCACAGCAGCCTGATTGTTCTGTAATGCAGCCTCAAGGTCCTTCACATCGCCTGATCTTTGATATTGTTCTGTGAACAACACTGCCAGATTCTGGAGACATCTAGCCAGGTCTGGATGCCCCTTGGGTGTCTGCTCCACAGCAGCCTGATTGTTCTGTAACGCAGCCTCAAGGTCCTTCACATCACCTGATCTTCGATATCGGTCTCTGAAAGACACTGCCAGATTCTGGAGACGGCTAGCCAGGTCTGGATGCCCCTCAGGTGTCTGCTCCACAGCAGCCTGATCATTTTGCAGTGCAGCCTCAAGATCCTTGACATCACCTGATCTTCGATATCGGTCTCTGAAAGACATTGCCAGAGATGCTGCGGTCGGCGGAGCAGGCGGCGATGTTTTGGCCCGTGGCAGCTTAGGATCTGGGACGATTTAGTTTATTAATAAGTATAATAAAAGAAAGAGGAGGGAGGTACTAATCCCATGCGCCCCTGCAAGACTGGCGATGGGCGTCGCGTCGAGCCCGCTTTGTGCGCTGGACGCTGCGTATTAGACCATTGCTCTTGTCCCCGTCCGACGAGATGGCGATCTGCGTGGAGGATCCCGGCGGCGGCGTCCGGCTCGATGAGCTTTCCGGAGGAGGAGGAGGGCGACCCAGGGCGTTTAGACATCGTTTCGGTTAGTGGCACTGGTGAAAACTTAAAGTGAGTACATGTGATGAGTCGCGTCGGATAGATAGGCCAAATACAGTCAAACTTGGGGTATTAATATTACTCAGATCCGTTTTTACTCCCTCCCAGCAGACAATAAATTGTGTGTGTATCTGAGATAGAAAGTAATCTCATGTAGTATTCGTGGAGTAATGTAACTCACTCCCACTTGCTCGTGGCCTTCAACCCATAGGGGAGAGTCGGTGGCTCAAACCCACCCAAAGACATTTGTCCGTTGCCAGAATCGTTTTTGTTTCCCTTCTTTTTGCTTCCAAGCATTATTAAAACTGTGGGTGTGTCAGAGGTGCAATGTAAGCTCATGTCGTCTTCGTGGAGTAATGCAACTCACTCCCACTTGTTGGATGCGCAAATGGAGCCATGGGAGAGACGGTGGTTCGAACCCACCCGAAGACATTCAGATTTAAGATCCTCCTTTTTTCCTCGGTAGCCTCGTGCCAGGCTCCTTTTTTCTCTTTCCTGAGAACCATGACTGTTTTTTTTTACCCTGGGAGGCAAATGAGCATGGGAAGGTATTGGCGATTCAAACTTGTGCTCCTGAATTAAGTTTCGAAGTAGGGTAACTCAGTCTCATAGTTCGAACTTGAAGTTAGCCACCCCCAAACATCAGAGTTTCGTTCAAGTTCAAGTGGCCATTATTGGGGATCCGCGGACATTGCATTCAAACCTTCCCTGCCGGCATAAAATAAATTGTATGATAGCACCGGCTTGGCATATCCGAGGTACGACGTACACTGATATCGGCTTCATAGAGTAATGCAACTCACTCCCACTTGTTAGATGCCCCATGCGAGACTCGGTGGTTCGAATCCACCCGAAGACATTCTGCAGCTGCAAAAAAGCCTTCCTTTTTTCTTCTCTTTGTTCCTCTCCTCTCAAAAAACAAATAATATGATGGGTGTATAAGAGGTGCAATGTACTGTAGAGTTTCGTTCAATTCGTATGTCACGGGTCACAGGGCCCAAAATTTACGAAGAATTTCGTGCCTGTCACGGGTCACTGAGGGGATTTTCGAATGTCCGATACTAGTGTCTGGGTGAAAAATAAATAAATATAATAAATAATAGTAGTAGGTCGTTCCTCTACACGTCATATATCTAGTCATTCATACTGTGCTTTGGCGAAGTGATTATGGTGGTATACTATAGGTATCTTTGTTTTGTGGCTGCGGGTTCGCACCTTGACGGACTCATTCAGGAAATCTTTTTTTTTGCTTCTCCTTTTCCTTTGTCCCTGTTGCTAGAACTTGAGCCAGATTTGGCGCATTCTGGTGGCGCCTTCAGTGCATTTTCATAAGGGGATCTGTGTACGAAGCGCGGGTAGTTCGAGAATGAATTTGGCTTGCGAGGATTTGATTCTCGCAGTCTGCATATTTTTTACCTTTATTTCATAGTTGCTTACACTCCATTTCTGAGTAGTGTACAGTAAAATACACATTCTGCATCTTAGTGTGGTTTTTTTTGCTGTGGTGAGTCAAATGAGAGGCACTATTCAGTATATTAAGCAGGGTGATATCGCTGTTAAATATCGATTTGTAGTAATTGAACCACATTATCCAGCCACTCCAGCGATGTATCAGAGCTCTACAATTGCGGGATACCTCAGATTCAGGTCTTGGAAGATCAAACTCATCATGTGACTGGTGCGGGTGAATATTAAGAAAGGAATATTGTCTGTATACGCAATGCATACGCGTTTAATACGCGTCGGTGGCTCGAGTCCTTTAAAAAATCCCGATTTAGAAACAACGGCAGTCTAACATATATTTTGAGTAAGGGAACATGCTCTCTTCTATTTTCAGACTCAAATTGCATGCACGATGCCGTTCAACTGTGTTCCAAGGATAAACACCCTAATAGTACTACTCACTTGTCTTCTGTAAACTCGTTGTGGACCACACGAGTATAATATACCCCACCCCCCATAATATACCCCCAGAGTTGATTTATGTCTCTGTTAAACCTGTTTACGAGACCCAGCTGATCTAAATCCATTAACTTAACCCCTTCGACTATTTTCTGCTTGAAGCTGTCGGAGAGATAATATTTCTTGTGATTTCGGAGCAATTTCAAGGGCTCAAGATACATGATCTTGTTGCATTTTTGCACTAGCAGCTGTTGTCGGGCCTATAGTGGATACTGAAAATCGAAACAAATTTGGGTAATGGCTAGCTTATTGCAGTTCGACTTTCCTCTCCCCGCTTTGTAGGATTATTTGTAGAGACCGCGACTTTTATCAGTGGTACTGAGGAGCAATTGTGTGGTCGTTCCCGCTAAAAGCCCATTCGAGTAAAGATAACTTCTGAATAAATCAATGCTCAGGCTCACATGTAAATTTTTGAGGTTCATATGTGACCCAGGACCATGCGCTCCACCTCTTCCAACTTGTCGGAAAGCGCGAGAGGAGATATTGCAACCCCGGAAGTTCCGAGACACCAGTTATACAAGGCGGCAACATCAACTCACTTCTTGGAAGTCAAATCCAAAGATTTTCATCCCGATTTAAAATACTCTTGCTAGGGTACGCGGGACGGGCTCTCATGTCAGTCGATCGAATCCGGCAAGCCGATAAATAATATTTATTTTAAAAGTACCCACATGCTAGGTAATCCGGAGTACCACCTGCTTCTTAACCACCCGTCGGCTGCAGATAATTCTTGTGACCTCTCATCCGTTGAACAGCTATTCAATTTTGATACAATTGCATGGATTCCATCCGTAGCATACATTTACGTCTGATCTGATCTATGCAGTACGGGCCCCGGCTGTTTCAATTTGGTCCCGCACGCCAGCAATTCTCCTCCTCCTCCAAACTCGGAATGTCACGGTTATGAGAAAGAACAGAGCTGCTCAGTTGATATGTTGCTCCCTTTTGGTTTATTTTGGGTAGTCAAATATATAGCCTGTGGTTGATGGCCCCCGCTAGTAAACTTTTAAATTTTGCTTATCTCATGTGGAGAATCTTCGCCACTCAACTCAACGCACTAAGATCTGAGAATGACCTAATCATCCTGATTCTTGACATCTCGGTTTGGCTGTTGAATCGAAGCTCCATTTCAAGGCAGCATTGGACGGAAAATTGCTGAAACACGGTACTGTGACCTCAAATTAAGAAGTAAATTCAATTTGTTCACGACATTATTCCTGCTCACATCTTCGAGCACTCAACTCATGCTGGAGGACTTGATTGTTGGGCTCGTGTTCCCAAAGAGTCTATGGCTGAACTTCGGGAATATTTATCAGAGGAAGTTGGCTCAAGAGATAAACACCTTGGGTGGCCAGGGCTTACTCCGGAGTTTGTTGTGATAGCACAGACAGCTTGGACTGGACTAGGGTGACCTGTGCTCTCACTTGATAGTGCCTGGGAGATTTTTGCGCAGATGTTGGCAGGTATTGAGGAGTATTTAGATACTGAGATTTAATATATTATATCGTGGCTCTGCAGCTACGCTAAGATACACTTTAATTATTTTCAAGTTACATGCAAGAAATTGTGGAGCACGCATGTAATATTCGACCGTACAATCCAGTTATGCCAAGCAATTCTCAGAGCGCACAATTCCTTCTGGTCAATTTGGTGAACAGTAGGAATTCAGCCCCCAAACGTCCTGACTTGCGGAGGATATTGTTTGGCGCGTGTGGGTATGTTATTTTTGGAAGGAGTGCGTCAGGACTCAGGTCCTGATGCGGTCCTGTCAACGGGGACTTAACAAGTCACCTATGCTCAGGATATCTGTCCCGAAAGACGCGGTTAAAAAGTACATCCCCGGGACTCGAACCTTGAAGCTCTAGATGGTAGAGAAAAGTTCGAAGAAGCAGCGAAAGAAGCGAGTAGCTATAGACAAACACAATAATGCGATGGTAATGTCCCCTAGCCATATGATTGAGATGTAAAATATTATATCCCACTCTCAAGTCCCACTATCGTAGCATTACAAGCCAAGTGCGGCATGTGCGAGCTGAAGAATGGTTGCGTCCGGATGTGGCCGGGTTACCTAGCAAAATCGATATTATTTATCGGCTTGCCGGATTCAATCGACTGACATGAAAAATCAAAGATGTCTGTCCTGCATACCCTAAGATATCTGTGAGATCAACAGAAAAAAACTTCGCGCAGAGTCTATGTGTGCAGTTTTGAATTGATGCAACATCTGGAACAAGATAGAACTCTATCCCATGTTCCAAAATTACGTAAGCATAGAAATGTGCTCTGATGCCTAAAAAAATCTTACTGAGACATGCTGGAATACACTGGAGATTGAAACAAATTTTCAGGATCTTTGCTGCAGAGCTCTTATGGAAAATGAACCCAACACACCACACCAAAGCGAATAAAAAAAATTAGTCTTGTATTGAAGGGAATCCATTGAGTTCCACTGGAGGCCGTAATCATTTGCTCCCTCAATGCCATATTAATTGGTCACCCATAAGAAGTTTGAACTTCCAGATTGATCAATTTGAACCACTAGGGTAGAAAATATTTTTTCTTCAGTGACAGACTGGATCTAGGGACTAGTAGTCTTGTTTTTTCATCTAATAACCATCAATCTCCACATTGGCATCCGTTGCAACTCAGTGTGAACCTGTGTCATTGCACTGCTCTTAAATACAATGCCAAGCAGCGCCGGACTGGGTTTAAATTATAATAGAGAAAAAATACATCCCCCAGTCTGCCTCGAGATCCAGCGATATAAAATGGAGTTCAACGGAAAGCTGCATCGTTCCGGGAAATGCTGCTGGATCATGATGATGGTCAAAAAAACAACATGATACACTGGCTATACACTGGTCATCAACATCTGCCAATGGCACCAGTAATCATTGGTGGCCATCATTGGCCACTATTGAACTTTCCAATGGTGTGTATATTACTCAAATTGATTGCCTGTGTTTCTTAGTGATCTGCAGGGGTAACCCCCAGGTATAAAAGTGCCTACCCTACCCCCACCCCCCAAAAACCCGTACCCTTGGCAGAGGTATGGGTAGTGCAAGGGTATTACCAGTAAATATTTTTTTGTACCTAAGAGTGCATAAGTTAAGGATTTAATATACAATACAGCAAATGTGACAAGGAAGCTGAAGACTGATATCAGTAGCAGGCTAAAGGCAGTATTTTTCCCTTGTTGTGTTGCGATAGGCACATGAAAAAATAATGCAAAAATAATGTTGAACTCAATGTCTGTAAAGACACAAAAAAATTTAAGAAATGACAGCCAAAACCAAACTACCATTATAGCCATTGAAAGGCATTCAATGTATTAGGTGATATCCTGGAAAGGGTGGGGGTTTTCCGGGGGTAAGGGTACAAAACCCCTGCAGATCGCTAGTGTTTCTTGAGTAGAGCTCTGAAAGAAGGACTTCCAAGAGAGATTAAACAGGCCATGACATGGTTAAAGT